CAACCTCCAACTCCTGGGCTCAAGCGATCCTCCTGCCTCAGCCTCCCGAGTAGCTGGGACTACAGGCATGCGCCACCATGCCCGACTAATTTTTCTATCTATTTTTAGTTGTTTGGCCAATTTCTTTCTATTTTTAGTAGAGATGGGGTCTCGCTATGTTGTCCATGCTGATCTCAAACTCCTGACCTCGAGCGATCCTCCCACTTCAGCCTCCCAGAGTGCAAGGATGACAGGCGTGAGCCACTGCGCCCGGCCCACCATGTCTTTTTATCAGCTACGTAATATTCCACTGTGTGGACATGTCCTTGTCTAACTGTCACACTGCTTGAGGACATAGAAATTCTTGAGCTTCCCTGTCAGGCCCGGGGCCCCAGCTCCGATCCGCCGCAGTTGTTTTTTCTTGCTGCGTTAACGTTCAGAGCAGGCACAGGCGGTCGGGTGTGTTGACGTTAATCTTGACATGTGCCGCCCGGCTGTCCTGTAAGAGAGTTGGCACCAGTTCAGCGTCCCGGGAGCGTCTTGCCCGGGCCTGGGGTGGCACTTTGCATCATTTGTCTCATGCACCGGGGCCAGTAAGTGAAAACCCGATCGATCGTTGCTCTGTGCGATCAGTTTTTATTTTTTTTCTTTGCAGCCAACTTTGCAAATGTCTGTTCTTATTCTTTGCCCATTTTCCTGGGGCTATTTCTTTTAGTAATTAAAGAAATTCTTAAAAATGCACATTCCAGGCCGGGCGCAGTGGCTCACGCCTATGATCCCAGCACTCAGGGAGGCCGAGGCGGGAGGATCGCTCGAGGTCAGGAGTTCGAGACCAGCCTGAGCAAGAGCGAGACCCCATCTCTACTAAAATTAGAAAGAAATTGGCTGGGCAACTAAAAATACATAGAAAAAATCAGCCGGGCATGGTGGCGCATGCCCGTAGTCCCAGCTACTCGGGAGGCTGAGGCAGGAGGATCGCTTGAGCCCAGGAGTTGGAGGTTGCTGTGAGCGAGGCTGACGCCACGGCACTCTAGCCGGGGCGACACAGTGAGACTCTGTCTCAAAAAAAGAAAATAAAATGCACATTCCCCATCATTTATAGCTCCCGCATTTGCTAGGACGTGATTTTTATTTGCGCGTGGCGCGAGGCAGGGATCTGACTTGACCCGCGCCGCCCACCAGGGATAAGCGCTCGGCTTGACGTCATTTATTGGGAAAAGACGGGGCGAGGTTTCCCGTCCCGGGCCTTCCCCGTCTGTGGCCTCTTACGGCTCTGCTCCCTCCTTTCCGACATCCGGGCAGACCCTGGAGAAGCCCTCGGAGCTGCTGCCTCCTCTGGCTTTTCAGGGGTGGGTCCTTTCGGGTCGGATGGATCCGAGTTCAGATCCTGGCGTCTCTAGCTATTTGCTGTGTGACCTCGAGCCAATGACCTCACTCCTCTGGTCTCCGAAGACCGTAGCCTCATTGCTTTCCCTCCTGGGTGAGGACTGGGCCTAGAAAGCCTCAGGCGGGCGTCTGCTTTTGGGGAAACCCGCGGAAGGGTCTTGTCCTCTGGTCCCCTCTAGGAAGAGGGGCGGCTGCAACCTACAAAGGACCCTGTGCACGGCTCCGGCGCCGGGTGCTGGTCGCGGGCAGCCCGGGCCTCGCAGGGAGGCGTCGGCTGTCGGGGGCCGGGCTGGACTCCGGCTGCAAAGGACACGAGCCTTTTCCTTGGAAAAGGAAAACTTTTCGTTGGTTCAGTTCCCCGCGCAGGCGCGGCCCGGTGCCGGCTGCCAGGGCGTGATGTGACCAGGCCGCCAAGTGGCTGGGGGGTCCCGTGAGCCCCCGGCGCAGGTGACCCCCAGGTCGGCATCTCCTGGAGTCTTGCGGGGGCTGGGGGGGGGTCCCACTAACAGATCCCGGTCACGGCGAGCGTGGCGTGGAACGGGGTCCACTGTTGCCGTGGGCCACGGGGAGTTTGTGCCGAGTGCAGCGAGCTGGCAGCCCTGATGGCCTCGGGAGGGTGTTAGGGAAGGTCCTGCTGAGGTCTGACCTGCGGTGGGGGGGACTTGGGGACGGAACCGCCCGCCTTGCTGCTCTTTGGCGCAAACCCTGCTCGGCCACGGCGTGTCCTCTAACCTGTCCCGGGTCCCTCCTCGCGGCCGTTTTACGTAAGATTCTCGCGTTGGCGACGGGTCTGTTTTTACCGATCGTCTCGCGCGGCCCCTGCTGGGCTTCGGGGTCCGGGGTGAACCGGGAAGGAGCTTGGAGACGCGGTCCGCGTCCTCGCGGGGGACGGCGCGGGCGGGTCCCGGCGTGACCTCACCCCCCGGCCGCCGCAGGAGTGCGCGGGCGAGCCGCTGTTCATGCTGTACTGCGCCATCAAGCAGCAGATGGAGAAGGGCCCCATCGACGCCATCACGGGCGAGGCGCGCTACTCGCTGAGCGAGGACAAGCTCATCCGGCAGCAGATCGACTACAAGACTCTGGTGAGCGCCGGGCGGGCGGGGGATGGGAGATGGGTTGGGGGAGGGGAG